AAAATGTGGCAGGGCTATAATTTGTATTTTTAACTATGAAGCTCAGGTCCTTTGTGATGTCATGATGTTTGATAAGCAGAGTTTTAATATTTATTCTTAATGTGACCGTATGTTACTGCTTCCCCACTTCACTACCTGGAAAAACAGTATATTCTACAAAAATAAAAGGCATTTACTCATTTTTCTGTTTTTGGAACTTGTGATAATACAACTGAATTTGTCTTTTAAATTGTGCACAGGCACATATACTTGCTAATTGTAGGATGTTCATGTATATTTTTATTTATTTCCTCCAAATAGGAACCACACATTGGAGGACAAGGAATGCTGGGAGCTGGCCTGTCATTTGAACAATTGAAACAGCTGCAGCGATTTGATCCATCTGTTGTGCCATTACAGGACATGGACATTGATTCTCTCAAAGAGGCCAGAGTAGAAGACATGATTTGGCTGGCAAATAAGGATTGTATAGGTTTTTTTATTGCAAAATTTGTAAAATGCAAAAGTATACAGGAGAAGGATCCTTAGAAATGAAAATTACAAACATTTGCTCTGTTGTGTGTGTGTTTTAATTTAAAGATCAATCTGTTGTTCGGCCAAGTGATTGATGGCATAGTTGCTAAGGAATCAGAAAAGGCTGCCAGCTGTTTCACCAGTGATCAGGAGACACTGAGGAAGTAATGGATGGGGGAGGGGGAGGGATATGAGATTATATTTTGTAATTTTAGAATAATTTTCCCTTTTGGATTTAGCAGAGTACAAAGAAAAGGAGATGCCTATAGATGTCTGAACCGTTTATTTGGAGTCATATGTTTTAATTTGTAAAGAATGCAAGTAATTTTTAATAGCAATCAATGAATCTAACAAGGAAAAAATTAGCAATATTTAATTTGGTTATAAAGTATATTATTTTTCTTTCCTGAGTTCCTAAGTAAGTAGTTTCTTAAGAATTCAGGGCATAGGAGGTATGACATTTACCATGTGCTGATTACTGAGCTGAATATTTTACCTCTTTCTCTACTTACTATCCTAATAAAAGAGTAATATGTAAATTAACTGTCACTCCAAAACAAAGATGGAGGCGCCCATAGTGGCCAGGACGGGACACTGGTGGCATCGCCCTGACAACGCAAGCCCCGCATCTGCACCCCGGCAGGGGAGGGGAGGGGCCTTGGGCTGGAGGCTGGGGCGAGGGATGTTGGCATCATTACAGGCCGGGCTGAGGGACCCACCCTTCACCCTGTGCACGAATTTCGTGCACCGGGCCTCTAGTTTGATAAATAAACCCTCTTTCAAATGAAGTCTGGATGTCTTGTAAATAAGAATCTGTCTTTACTGTTTACTTTTCCCCCTCCCCCATGATTTAAACTAAAAAGTAGAATGAATCTTTTCTTTACTTTGTAGATTAAAAAGATGAGAATATTCCACAATGTCAGTACCTTTTATCATTTGTTGGAATACATACTGTAATAGTTAATGGAGACGTGATTGGTGAGGAAGAGAAAGCCAACTTCTGACAACTAGGAACTGGCCTGGCACTTACAGGAAGGTCTTGGTGTTCTCCTATTGGACATAATTTCACAGAACACCAACATCAGGCAAGACTATTTTGACTATGACACCTCAATACACAAAAAGACCACTTCAAAATCAAATCTGAATTTAGGTAAAAGCAAGAACATCATCTAAACCAGCCCCACCGGCCAGCCCCAGTGGTCCACGGAGCACTGGTGGTCTGTGAGGTCCAAAAGGTTGGTGACTGCTGATCTAAACCACAAAAGTGATCAGTCATCCCCTATAGTGGCCAATGTAAGTGATTGTTTTAAAAAAAATAATGATAAACTTATTCTTGCTTCATCCTACCTGTTTTTTAGATGAGATATATTTAAACAGCCTTAGTTTAAAGGCTGTCATATACAGTTATATATATGTTTTTGTTAACACTTATCAAATCATCCCCAAATTCCTGAGCCTTGGGCATATAAGTGGACAGTTGGAAACAATTGCCTAATAGTTTCTTTCCCCCTGCCATAGGTTTGTTAGGAATGTCTCATAACTATTAACACCCATCAAGATTGCAAGGCCTCCTGGATCAGGTAAGACCTTTCATTGGCCTCATCTTTGAAGAAGCCTTTCTTGAATACCCTTCCCTGAGTTTGAGATAGTCATTTGTCTTTCTGTACCCCTAGGGCCCGTATTTACTGCTGTTGTGGCACTTTGAGAATACTCTAGTTTTCTAGGCATGCTCCTAACTACCACCTTCACACTTGGGAAGATCCTGGAGGCAGGGACCCTGTGTTTTCTGTCATTGCTTCTGAGCAGGTCCCCAACAGATGCTTATTAAATGAGGGGAAAAATATTTCAAGCTCCAAAGATTCAAATATCTGACCGACTTCTTTACATCCCTCATTCTGCCTTATATCCAAAAGATGTCATTTGACTAAAGAGAAATAGTGTTTACCTGTGGCCCTTCCATTTCTAGGACTCAGCACACCTCTAAATTTTAAATATATTTTGTTTTAATCCACAAAATCCATTTTTTCTCATGTTCTCTACAAAGCCTTATGTGTTAAGCTGGAATGAAAATGGTAGCAGCAAATGTGTAAATTTTGGTTAGTATTGATAAATAGCAAAATATAAGCAATGCGGGCAAAATAGAAGATAAATATTTGCATATCGAAAACAGGACAAATAAATTGTTAAAAATATTTCCTTTAACATACACATTTTCAGTGGTTTCTTTCCTTCAAAAATAAAGCAAATTGAAAAATGGAACACATTCAATCTTAAAAGGACAAATAAACAAGAAAAAATACAATGAAAAGGAAAAAATCAGGAAAATGTGGAAGAAATTGATATATTATCTTTTAACCTACTTAGTGTTGACATATCTGTGAAACAGAAAAAGCATTTTAATTCAACAGTGAGTACATTTTACTTTAAAACCCTGTATCACAGTTTAAATAGCAAAGAGAAGTACAAATAGTTAAAAATATAATTTAGCTGAAATGAAACAACTGATCCAAAACCATGTAGTTATCTTTTTCCTCTAACAGTGTGACTTAAAGTTTCAATAAGATCAGAATATCTGAGACTAGCAGCATTACCTCATTGAGCAAACCGACAAGGATGAGGAATTAAATTTGTCATCAAAATAGATCTTCATTTAAAAATGAAGGAATAATAAAATTCAAAGTCTGAATTGCTGCACATGTAGAATTAAGGTGGAGGAGAATTATTATTAATTATTAAGGAGAATTATTTTGCTGTGCTCATATCTTAAAAGGTCCTTTACCTACATTATGCTATTATTTTATCAGACATCATGGGAAGGTCACTAAAATAACATCAGTAATTGGCATTGTCCCAAGGAAAATGCTCCACAAGTGGGAAGTGTTGAATATTTAACATATTCTCAACTGTAAGAATCATTCCTCAAATCACAATTGATGCTACTAATAATAAACAGTGCAGAAGCCAGCTCTTTATTTGCTTTAGATGAATTTCTTTAAGTCAGGTTTGTTGAACAGTTCAGTGTAGCTGACAGCAAATGTTTAACAGGAATGCAGAGCAGACCATGTTAAAAATGTGGCATTGTCCCACAGTACAATATGACTAAGACACCCTACATTTAGCAGCACCTTTTTGTAACAGTAACTTAAACGAGCAGTAGAGAAAGAGCATAGTAAAAACTGAAATGGGTTTGACAAAAAAACAGAGTAGAACTATTAAGAACATTTCCAGCATTTTCTAGGTAGACTACAAAAATCATGATTCTACAACTAAGTTAAGGTTAAGCTTTTGCTCTGTGAAAAGACTATAATTTTATATTCCACAAGTCAGTAAATATCCCATTGTCTGGGATTATTTCTCCATTTACAAATTTAGTACATACTGTTTACAGATATGTTCACTATACAGTTTTCATGTATAGATGCTCTTATGTCAAATCCTGCAATATAGTTTTTGAGAAATACTCTGATTTGGACTAACATATTTCACAATAAAGTTTAAAAAAACAACCAAAACCTAAGAATCCAGGTATAGAATTTTAAAAATGGAATCCATTAGCACAACTTTTTGAAAGGGATTAATGGTAGCAGCAGGTTAGATACATACCAGTTATACTTCAAGAATTTAAATATTCTAAAGTTATTATTGGGATGAAATTATGTGTAGCAAAGAATGGTGATCAGCTGCATCTTACCATGATGGAAAGTTTACCAGAAATATTTTATAAAAGTAATCTTAATTGGGATATGGTTTTCCAATGATGTGACTACTTTGCATCAATTTATATATTATCACTACAGTTTTTGTAGTCAATAAATAAATTCATTTCAACAATACAGAGCTAATTAACAAATACACTGATTCTGAGGGAAATGTTTCATATTAGCTGATAGAACACTATATATGTAGCTCATTTTAAAAACAGTTTCCTTGGGTGTAGGGAAAGTAAGGAGCTCAATGCAAAACATTTTACTTATAAAGGTCCGATGATATTTGGCAAGAACCTGGAATAATAAAAGAAGCAAAATAAAAATAGATTAACTTACTTAACAAAATCATAATTATATAACGTACAAATCTGAAGTCAGGCAATTATAGAGAGGCACTCTCCAGGGACAAATTTCAGGTACTAGTACACCGAATACTGTCTTATGGTCCAGTCATAACTGGACAAAATGTACACTTAGGAGACATGGAGGTTTTAGCCTTAACATGACAACCACATTGTGAGCTGCTCACAGCAGCATCATTGAGATAGTATCTTCTAGTTTCCCCTTCATAGATGTCTGATGTAGGAAAATGCTCTGACCATTTGTTCACTTCAAGTCACCCCGTTTGCCCTGATTACTTCTGAAGAGCAGAAACTTTGGTTATAAGAAGCACTTCTAGGTTTTGACAGACAATGAAACTCTTTGAGTTTGTGGTGGGGACGGAATGATAGGTATACTGGGAGATAACAGAACAATAAGCAGGGTTAGAAAAGGAAGTGGGAGAAGTTAGAAAAATTTATTTTCCCACAAAATAATTCTACAAGCTGTGTAAACGTTTCTTACTATAACAAATACTCGAACACACACAGATTGTACATTTCCAGTGGGACACTCACAGTTAGAAGTTGCCTGTATTTTTTGCTCTGTAGGAGCAAACACAAGGAGCCAACAGAATGCTTTCCCGGTCACCTTTGGCAGCATGCTCCCTGCCTGCTCAACGGATCATTACAGCGTCATGCAGCACAATTCAGCTCAAAGCCAGGTGGGTAGGATTCTAGATATCAGTCTCTAGTTTCCTTATTAGTCTTTTGCATTCAGATTCATCTTAACCAACCACACGCACATACGCTTACACACAGACGCACACACGCGTGCATACAGAGTTCCGGCTTGTAGACTTCAGTGCAGTGACATGAGACACGAGCTACTAAGAATGTGTGTCACAATCAGTGTGAGCTGCATGGATTAGAACAACCTTTGGAGTTTGGTTATATTTATCATAATTTATGGTCAAAATTATAAACTTACAGGGATGGTAAAACATTCAGAAATTAAACCTTTTCAAGTCAAGCAATCACACGTATTTACAGTATGTACAGACTTTCTACTAGAATGGAGATAGGTGCCTACACAATGTTATTACAAATTTCCTGAATGTGGGCAATTCTAGTCCCTGTACTTCATAAAGCAAATCTGCTGACTTGGCATTAAGACTAAAATAGTGTCATCAAACTGATATATATATATTATATATAATTATCATAAGAAGGTGTTCGCAGAAATAACATTTACAAACTGTCTATACAGTACACAGTACTAGTACATAGAAAATATATTCTAACTTTATGATCCCCTTTGTATAAGGCAAGACTGAATCTGTCCCCAAATTTAGTCAGCCAGAGGTACAAGCAAGAAACAGTGGTCCATGGATGAATGAATATGCACATCAGGTGCCTACATTTTAAAAATCTGGAGACTCAAGAAATTCCACTTTTTATCTGAGCCGATTCTGGCTTGCTGGAGATGTCAACTACATTTTTTAAAACATCCACCACATTTCTTAAAATACTAATGCCCCCTGGATGGCAACAATTTGTTCAAGTGGCAGCTACCCCAAACAGTTTTTGAAAAGTCCAGTACACAACCAGAGGACTGCAGCCGTACCAGGCAAATTTATATAGCACTTAGAAAAGAAAAAAGTATAATACTCTGTCATACTATTGCTATTTAAGCAACAGCAATACAAAATATACAAGACAGATCACATATGATTGCAATGTCGACCCCAAAGATTTAGATTGAGGTTGCTGTTAGACTTAAAAAAATCCAAAAACACAAACGGACCAAAGTTATTGGCGGATGTAAACATCCCTGTTCCACTCCCCAGCCTCATTCCTTTTTTTGGATATTCCTTCTCCATCCTTGTCACAGTAGCGATCCTTGGATTTATGACGACTTCGTTGTTTGTTGCATTCATTGTGGTCCTGCTCTCGATCCAGGTCCCTGGGCCGGTGCCGAGACTCCCTGTGCCTGTGCTCACCACTCCCGTGGGGCTCCTCTCTGTGGTTGTGGTCACGGTGTGGGGCATAGTGGTCCACATGCTCATGGGAGTAATCTTCCTTCGGCTCCACGTAGGCAGAGTCTCGACTGTCCTGGGTTTCTGAGTCAAATGTCTCCTGCCTGGAGAGGCCTCGGTGTGTCCCACTGCGATGGTTGTGGTGCGGGGCTGAGGAGGAAGGCCGGTGCTGGGATTTCCTGGCTGGTTCCAGGCAGGGTTCTTCTTCAGCTTGGGGGGCAGAGCGGGCGAGAGCAGAGCGGTCAGTCCTCTGATCGCCTTGAGAACCCTGGTGTCGAAGGGAGAAAACACAGGCATCAACCTTGGTCAAGACTCTTGAGTCTTGAAGAGCAAACTTTAAAGAGTTCAGGGGTCCTCAAACTTTTTAAACAGGGGGCCAGTTCACTGTCCCTCAGACCGTTGGAGGGCCGGACTATAGTTTAAAAAAAAACTATGAACAAATTCCTATGCACACTGCACATATCTTATTTTGAAGTAAAAAAACAAAACGGGAACAAATACAATATTTGTATTTGCATGTGGTCCGCGGGCCGTAGTTTGAGGACTCCTGGTCAAGAGTGTTAGGAACTAAGGCATCACAAAGCAAGTCTATTCAAGTTTACTTCCTTTTAAGGATCTAAAATGCTGAAATGAAATCTCACCTTGCTAAGTTACCTAATTCTTTTAATGATGTCTAGTGGCATTTCTAAGGTCTGTACTATATCATATTGGACTTTGGCAATTTGTAAGTGCCTAGAACAGTACACAGAATAACCTTTTTATTTAAATGATTAAATGAGGGAGGGCATTTTATATGATCTTTTGCGGTTTAAATACAGATACAGGTCCCCAAGGTTTTTCTACACATGGGTATATACTTAACTACCTCCATTTGAATACATGCAGGAAGATTAAAATGCCTTAGGATGTTGGGTTTGGCTTACGGTAAGGATTAAGGAGATAAAATATGAAATATAAAATATTAAATGGCACGTACTATGAGACAAGCACTATTTTAGCAGTCACATTAATTAATGTTATTAATGCAATAACCCTGGGATAGGTTGCCAATAATTTCCTGAGGCATCTCAGAAAGAGCAGATAAGGAACTATTCACGGTTATGTGCTGTATAGAAAGTTCTGTCCCTGTCCTAACATGTAGCAGAGAGTTCTAAAGTCTGTACATCTTCATAGTATATTGTGTTTACCCTGCTTTTCTTAGCTACACCACTTACACTGAGGATGTCTAAATGACTCAGTGTCTCAGTTTGGATAGAGCCACTCCACTGGCACAAGCACTGCACTGCACTGGGTATCTGGGCTTGGACCCCAGCACTGTGACCTTAGGCAGCCTGGCTTCTCAACAAAGACGGTAAAGAACTCCTCTCACCTGTGAATTAGAGGCTGGAGTGGGGCTCACAGGCAGCGCTGAAGTGGCTAAAGTGCGGCTAAGGAGAGGGTTGGGGAGATTGCTGCTGGGCGGGTGGGTAGCCTTCCAGTAGGCCTCCAGGTAGTCGGCAAGGTGCTCACAAGCATCCTCGAGCTGGTTCTCATCCAAGATCACATCAAACAACTCCTGCAGAGGCAAACGTGTCAGAGAGCACACTTACACCAGCCCAGTACTGGCTCATAAAAGGAGGGAGGGAGGGGCTCAGGAGCGGCACTGCTTTGTATGTGCTGTGGCTTATGTGCTCCTTTCCCTTTTCCATCCGCTGACTGTCCTGCTTAGTCAGATCATGTCATTGTTTAGAATACTGGATGCTTAACCAGCGGCAATGACCAGGAAGTGAACAGAATAATAGTAGTTGTTAAGGGCATGATGGAAAAGTTGTCTGTCAGTAGTGAAAACAGGAATTGATACTGTGGTAGAAAGAGATAAAAAGAAAACAATACAATCTGAATAGTACAGGAAGAAGCCTGTTTTGACATAGACTGAAAAGTTTAACCCTGAAAATTAATGAGGCTAGATTAGGACATGAAGTTTGGCAGAAGAAACTGAAACTACTGATGATTTGACATGGCCCACACTTCAAAAAGTGCTTATCATAAATTTTAACATGCTCCAAGCAATCAAAATGGATATAGTCCTAATTTTTGGAGCTTCTGAAATACTTGCATTTAAAAAACAACAACCTAAAAGCCATCTGTAGTTCCCTGGCAGGGTATGTAGAGCATGAATTAGAAGTAGGACTGTATTCAGATGTCAGAATCTGGGTGACTGTGTAGACATTTGTTTTTACACTGTCTTAAATCAACTTCTCAGAGAGCTATTGAAGAGGCAGAAAGTCAGTCCCTAAGGGTAGTAGGATTAACCCCAAATAGTTCTATCTTATAGACCAAGTTTTTGAAGTTACCATCTTGTTCATTTAAGATACAAATGAGGTGTTTATTTACAAAGCGAGGTGACCACAGAACTTGCCATAGCTTTTTGTAAGCCATGATTGGGGCAAGTGTTCATGGCAGGAAGTAGGACAGTTCACTTCTTTGGAATGATGCTCACTGCTAAGTGACAAGGATTCTTACCCCCAACAGGCATGTAACCGTCTGCTTTTTGTTTTTTAATGCAATGCCAGGTCTGATCTCTTCATCTGGATTATAGTGTATATAGAGAGGACTTACTGGAGGACACTGAGACAGTTTATCAGCTGCTACCATCTGGACATTGAGGTGTTTAGCTTGAGATTTTCCCCGGGATTTTATTAACCTTTGTAAAACCTGTAAAAGATAAGATTTTTAAACAGAAGGATATTTCCACTCAGATCAGTGACAAGATTCACCACTCACTCCATTCTCTGGGGACTTTTATATATATAGTACAAATGGCTTATAATAAATTGAGCTATGAAGATTTCTGCAAAATTGATATGTTCACATAACTCTTCAGAGCTTATGCTGAGTCCCTTTTCAAGGCTAGCAGTTATCAAACTTTTTGTCTCATGACCCTTTTGTTTTAAACAGTTCTTGAGAAACCCAAAAAGTTTTTTTTTAATTGATTTCAGAGAGGAAGGGAGAGGGAGAGAGATAGAAACATCAATGATGAGAGAATCATTGATGGGCTGCCTCCTGCATACCCCCTACTGAGGATCGAGCCTGCAACCCGAGCATATGCCTTTGACAGGAATCAAACCCAGGACCCTTCAGGCCACAGGCTGATGCTCTATCCTCTGAGTCAAACTGACTAAGGCCAACATGTATTTCTTTATGTGAACTACTAGAAGCCCGGTGCATGGATTTGTGCACTGGTGGGGTCCCTCAGCCTGGCCTACGGACATCCCCCACAGGGTCCTGAATTGCGAGAGGGCACAGGCCAGGCCGAGGGACCCCACCATGCACGATCGGGGCCAGGGAGGGACTGCGGGAGGGCTCCAGGGCACGTCCAGCCCGTCTCGCCCAGTCCCCATCGGCTGGACCCCAGCAGCAAGCTAACCTACTGGTCAGAGCATATGTGTGAAGAAAATCTAGCCTTCTAAAAATGTGTAGTTGGGATAAGGAATATTTTAGTAACCTTTTCAGATAATTGTGGATATTCCTTGTAGTGTGGAAACAACACTAGTTTCTTAGTGACTAGTTGCTATGTGAAACATGAAACAATATCAATGAACTTTTCTTGTTCTGTTACATAAATTCCATTGGCCTATCTTGGAATTTGAATGGGTCTTTAGCATGCATAATTTGTACCATCATTCATTGATCATTTGGCAAATAATGGTTCACTGAGTTCTTCAGATCTTCCAAATGTCAACACACTTCATTATACAAGATTAAAACCTATGTGTTAATATTATTGGTCTCATTAGAAAAGTCTTTATCTATTGGGAAGTTGCTAAGCTCTCAAAGGTGGATACAAGTTTTCTAAAACTCGACTTTTTCTTTGAAACTTTGAGTTTTATCATTGGTAACAAAGGCTATTAGCTGTTTCCTTGATGTGATACCAAAGTCTGAGTAAGTATTGCCTGTCAGTTTTTCTTTCATATAAAAATGGTATTCCATGAAGAAAGTGGCTAGTTAGTTCACAACTCAAATAATCATACCCATGCGTGTCCTCAAGATAACTAACCTACTTGGGTATATGCAGTTCTTGTGTACTTCCTATTTCATTACTCAGAATATTTAATAAAATTAAGTGAAACTGGTTATTTGGATTTATTTATTTATTTATTTATTTATTTATTTATTTATTTATTTGTTAATTTATTTAAAACTGACTGCTAGTACTGACTGGTACCAGAATCTTGACTCATGCTTAGACACATGCAATTTTACCTACCATTGCTTTTGCACCATTATCAAAAGTGTGAAAAGGGTGAACGGTGTTTAGTATTATGGAAATAGTTTTGGCCTCGTGAACGCTCTGAAAGTGTCTTAGGACCCCCAGGGGTTCTACCACACTTTGAGAATCATCTGTGCTAAGCCATGAAACTAATAATCATGCTTGGCCTCTTATCAATCTTAAAAATGGACAAACATCTCTTCAAACTCTCTATGATGGATAAAGACGTAGCCTGTTGTAACTGCAAAACAACAAATAAACTGGGATTATAGAGCAAACAGCAAGCCTACTTACCTTAGGAGAAGAAATCTTTACATAAACTATAATAGGGGCCAAAGAGGTTTTACTGAGTTGAGCTGGATGATTAATAGTGTCCGCATCAAGGACTACCAGTTGCAATGTTCTTGCAAGTTCAAAAATCCTTTCTATTTCACTCTGAACTTCCGCTGTAAAAGGTTAAGCAGAGATCGATTACTTCAAGTACAATATTTTTAGAGCAAATCGAGATAAAGTAAAATGGTACATGATTTCTTCAACAGGAAGGTATGTAGGTCAGCCATTAGGTTAATGTTTATAGGCAATAGAGCTGATAAAAGCCTTTTCTTCATAACACCTTACAAATTTAGGGAATTCCTCTCCTCTTTCAATCGGCTATAACATTTACTTCTAGTATTAATACTATTTCTGAGAGTGAATATTTTTGGCTCCCTCTGCTGACCTATTTTTTGTGCTGCAAAACTCCACTCTGGGAAATCATTTCATAAAACTGTTGTACAATAGAAACTTAAGGGATAACTTTTATGTGTGGTTCTGACCACTTTACACTAGCAACCGTCACCAGCTTTCCTCTCACTGCATGGGCTTATCTGTGTTTATCACCTATTGTATGCTTTCTGGATATGATGGAGCCTACATATTTTTTTTCCCTTGGGGGGCGGCGGGGCCTACATATTTTTATTAGCAACCTAAAATACAATGTACACGAGGGGAGACATTATGAGTCTCTATAACAAACTTGACTAGAAACACACTAATCATATATTCCACCAACTAACGAATGGTCCTGTAACATTCAGGTTTAAAAGGGCAGTTATGTGTTAGAGGCAGCACTACACAAATATGAGTTATAAAACATACAGTTATAAAACATCCCTCTGAGCCCTCGGGGGATGTCCACCTGCCGTGGGAAAACTTATCAAACATATAAAAATCTACTTGAACACCAAAAAAATTTCACTCAGTTCATCTACTTCTTCATGATCTCCCCAGAATCTAAAACAGGACTATCCAGTAGAATTTTCTGTCATGATGGAAATATTCTATATCAATGCTGGCCAGTATGATAGCTTCTAACCACATGTTACTATTAGCATCTGAGATGTAGCTGGTGTGAACGAGCAACTAAATTTGAAAAATGTAATTTAAATAATTTAAAAGTAAATAGCCAGAGAAGCTCCTGTCCTAGGCAGCACATGTCTATAAATCATAATACGTATCTTGTGCTGCCCACTGAAATCATGAAGGACCAATTCCATGAGACTCTGGACCTACAGAAAAAATTAAGACTCCAGATCTGAAAATCAAAATTAAGCTTTTGGAGCTACCAGTTTATAAAAAAAAACCACAGAAAACAGACAATCACATGAACGATTCAGATCGGACCCCTATGGAGTAAGTGACCCAGTTTCTCCAAGTAAAAAATTACAAGGAAATAAAAAAAGGCAACACAGACAAAAAATACAGATTAAGAGACTCAAGGACCTGTGAACCAATCACAATGGATGGACTTTATTTGGATCCCGACTCAAGAATAGTAATACATATTTTTATAATATGAAAATGAATAAAATATTTAGTCTATATAAAATGACAATTGGGAAATATGTGGCTGACTAAAAATATGAGTTAGGGATAGTGGTGTTATGGTTTAAATAAAGAGTCCCTACTGTTTAGAAATACATAATGAAATATTTACAGATAAAATCATATGATATTTGTGATTTGCTCCAAAATAATCCACAAACAGTTGGGGAGGAAAGGGAGGACTGGAAAGGAAACAATTTTGGCCATGAATAGGTGATGGTTGAAACTGGGTAATGAGTACCTGAAGTCCTGTATACTTTTTCCATTCATATTCACTTAAATTACCTCAAATAACAGTTTTAAAAATGAAAATGGCATTCTGTTCATTCCTTTCATAATAATGTTCTAAAACATTACTAATACTATTGTTTTAACTCTTCTCTGTTGACCTTTAAACTTAAAAAAATACATATTTTTATTGATTTCAGAGGAGGAGGAGGAGAGACAGACAGAAATATCAATGATGAGAGAGAATCATTGATTGGCTGCCTCCTGCACAACCCCCAACGGGGGGCCAAGCCCGTAACCCAGGCATATGTCCTTGACTGGAATCAAACCCGAGACCCTTCAGTCTACAGGCTGACACTCTATCCACTGAGCAAGACCAGCTAGGGTGATCTTTAAATTTTTATTTCAATTAGTAGAGGCCTGGTACACGAAAATTTGTGCACTGCGGGGGGGGGGGGGGCGAGGAGGCATCCCTCCCCTTCGAGTCAGGCGTCCCTCTGGCAGCCTGGGAGCCCTTGGGGGATGTCCACCTGCTGGCTTAAGGCCACTCCCCAGGGGAACAGGCCTAAGCTGGCAGTCAGACATCTGTCTGGCAGCCCAGAAGCCCCCAGGGGATGTCCACCTGCCAGCTATTTGCATGTATATGTACACACATATGTATCTATATACATCCATGTAATTATTCAAAGTATGTGTATACATGCATATACACACATACATATTCATATGTGTATATATTTAAAAGATTTTAGTTTTAGATACATGTATATATACTGAGTGGCCAGATTATTATGAGCACCTGACTTTGTAGGCAAATTAGCTATAATTTAGCACTGAAGTTGCTAGCGGGCCAGACCATTATAAATAGGGAAGCAGGTTGTTTACCATGACAAAAGTGATTTTTTTTCTGAAGATATGGGTAAACGATGCAATTTAACAGTCTTTGAACATGGGATATGGAGATATATATATATAAATATTTTCTCTGAGTGGCCAGATTATTATGACCACCCCATCAGTACTGCGTTGGGCCACCTTTTGCCTTCAATACTGCGGTGATTCTCCTTGGCATTGACTCCACGAGATGTTGAAAGGTGATGTGAGGAATCTGACACCATGCCTGATGAATAGCACTGTCCAGTTCTGTGAGATTTGATGGTTGTGGAACCAGCTGCCTGATGGCTCTTTTAACTTCATCCCACAAATGCTCAATTGGATTGAGATCTGGTGATTGTGGGGGCCATCTAAGCAAGGTAAAGTCTCCCTCATGTTCTTGAAACCACTCCTGCACAATACGAGCACCGTGGCATGGCGCATTGTCTTGTTGGAAGAAGCCATCTCCATTGGGATACGCCATCAACCTGATAGTATGAACTTGATCAGCAATGATACTTAGGTATGTTGTGCTATTCGGACGTTGTTCCACACGAATTAAAGGGCCCAAATCATGCCAGGAAAACATGTCCCAAACCATAACACTGCCCCCACCAGCTTGAAGGGTTGTACTCATGCATGTGGGGTGCATGCTTTCGTGCTGTTTCCATCAAATTCTCACTCTGCCATCTGCATGATGCAACTGGAAACGTGATTCATCAGACCACATGACTTTTTTCCTATGCTCGACTATCCAATCCTTGTGTTCCTGTGCGAACTGGAGACGTTTTATCTTGGTAACTGCAGACAGCAAAGGTGTTCGAACAGGCCTTTGGCTTCCATATCCCATATGATGCAGTGTACGGCTGATTTGCCTACAAACGTCAGGTGGTCATAATAATCTGGCCACTCAGTGTATATGTGTATACCCTGTATATACAGTGTACACACACTTTAACAGCTGGTAGATCAATTCTGAAAATGTGATGTATTTTAATAAACACTGCCTTTAGAATTATTCAGAGCGTGTGTAGACATTTTGGGGGGACACCCTCCATACTTAAAACTAAAATTGTACATGGGGCCTTTTGGGGGAGGTCACTGGGGGACGGCTCCCTAACCGTCACTGCTTATCTCTCCGCAATGGCTTAGAGTTTCCGTAATTGCCACATTCCATCCTTAGGAGGTATCACCTTTCTGGGTGGAGCTGAGGCGTGGGAGTGCTGACTCAGGCTGCAAGAACCAGGCGGTGGGGACAGAGAACTGGCCTCCTGGTGCCTCCCGGGCTGTGAGGTGGGGCCGATAGGTGAGTGAGCCCCTCCCAGCTCCTGAGAGGTGGTGGGCAGGCACCAGTTTAGATAACAGAGGATCTGAGAAAAGATTTGTGATGCCGTACACGACTGCAGTCCACCTTCTCCGTGGCCATTCGCTGGGGAAGAGGGTTATTTCCGAGAGTGCCCTGGGGAGAGCAGGCAGCTTTCACTTCATGCCGTGGCCTGGTATCAGCCTCCCTTACTCATCACGAGATAATGTCCCCAGCCCACTGCAGCATGCAACTTTTTATCTTAGAAAAAGGACGGAACATAATGCTGGATGTGCCAAGAACGGGTCATTTCAGAAGGTGGTTTTTCTGCTGCTCAGGGTCCATTTCTCTCTTCCCATTGTCAGTGGAGTTAAGCAAGGACTAACACAATCCGACGGAGGTTGCCATGAGGGCCAAACAGACTGCAACTCAGGAGAAAAAAAATTCAGAAGCGCATGTCCTGTGTCACAGCACTGCCTGTCAGCCATCAGAATCACGTGTAACATGTATGAGCATCACACTGTGCCAGGGGCTGGCTTGCGTAGCCCTCACCAAAAGCAAAAATAAAAAAGTGGGACTACATCAAACTAAAAACCTGCACAGCAAAGGAAACCATCAAGAAAATCTGAAATGAAAATACTTGCAAATCATATATCTGATAGGGGGTCAATATCCAAAATTTAAAAAGAACTCATACAACTCGCCTTGACTGGTTTGGCTCAGTGGATAGAGCATCGGCCTGCAGACTCAAGGGTCCCAGGTTCGATTCCAGTGAAGGGCATGTACCTTGGTTGCGGGCACATCCCCAGTAGGGAGTGTGCAGGAGGCAGCTGGTCGATGTTTCTCTCTCATCGATGTTTCTAACTCTCTATCCCTCTCCCTTCCTCTCTGTAAAAAGTCAATAAAATATATTTTAAAAAAAATCTGATTTTAAAATGGGCAGAAGCTCTGAACAGACATTTTTTCAAAGAAGACATAAGGTGGCCAGTTACCTGAAAAGGTGTTTGACATCACTAATCATCAGGGAAATGCTAATCAAAACCATAGAAGTTATCACATCATACCTGTCAGAATGACTATTACAAAAAAGTTAACAAGTGTTGCCCTGGCTGGTATGCCTCAGTTGGTTGGAGTAACATCCCCTGCACTGAAGGGTCTCAGGTTTGATTCCTGGTCAGG